CGGATGGTGTTATCCGAAGGTGCGTCCCGGAGGAGGAGCAATTGAGTATCTTGGAGGTTTGCCATTCCTCTCCCTATGGTGGCCATCATGGCTGGGTGAGGACGACTTCTAAAGTTCTTAGTTGTGGGTTTTATTGGCCAACTTTGTTTAAAGATACAGGTGATTTGGTGAAGAGATGCGACGAATGCCAAAGAGCGGGTGAAATTTCGAAGAAAGATGAGATGCCTCTCAATACCATCCTTGAGGTTGATATTTTTGATGTATGGGCCAATGATTTCATGGGCCCATTTGTTAGCTCTTGTGGGAACACTTACATTCTTGTGACGGTGGAATATGTTTCAAAGTGGGTTGAAGCCATGGCTTTTCCCAACAATGAGGCCCGGAGTGTTGTTGCATTTCTCAAAAAGAGAATTTTACAAGGTTTGGTACTCCACGTGCAATCATAAGTAATGGGGGGTCTCATTTTTTGCAATAGAGCTTTCGACACTTTGCTTTCAAAGTATGGTGTCAATCACAAAGTTTCTACCCCTTATCATCCTCAAGCAAATGGTCAAGTTGAAGACTCCAACAGGGAAATCAAAAGCATATTGTCAAAGACGGTCAATGCAAATAGGACCGATTGGTCAAAGAAATTGGATGATGCTTTATGGGCTTATATGACTGCTTACAAGACTCCGATTGGTATGTCTCCGTATCGGTTGGTGTTTGGGAAAGCTTGCCATCTACCAGTTAAGTTAGAGCATAAGGCCATGTGGGCTTTGAGGAAGCTAAATCTTGAGTGGGATGTTGCAGTCAATCTTCGTGTGGAGCAGCTCAATGAACTTGATGAATTCAGATTCCATGCCTACTCCTGTTCATCCTTGTATAAGGACAGGATGAAGTACCTTCATGATAAATATGCTCGTGGAAAGGAGTTCAAACTAAGTGATTTGGTTCTCTTGTTCAATCCTGGTTATGTCTGTTTTCGGGAAAGCTCAAGTCAAAATGGAGTGGACCTTTTGAAGTGGTGTGTTTGACCCCGTTTGGTGCTCTTGATTTAAAGAACAAAAATGGTAAAGTTTTCAGAGTTAATGGGCACCAGGTCAAGCATTATCTTGGAAAAATTATTGACAGCCACGTGGTGGCACTTCTTCATTTCAAATGATGTGAGGGTAAACTGCGTCGTGCCGTGACGTTAAATCAGGCGCTTCTTGGGAGGCAACCTATGGAGTGCAGCCACACTAGGGCTCTTGACTTCAAAATCCAACTCTCTAAACTCAAGCAATGCGGACCTCACAGAACGGACTGCGGCCGCGGAGGCTTCTAGTGCGGTTTGCACAGAATGGACTGCGGACTGCATTGGCTTGAATCTTCAAAACTGGCATCTCTCTAATTCTTGGGTATGCGGACCGCACTAAGTCGAGTGTGGCCGCATTAACTTCAGTGCGGACCGCACAAAACCTAGTGCGGCCGCATTGCCTTTGTGTCTGAATGTCAACCTCTCTGAATCCCCTAGTGTGGACCGCACAGAATGGTGTGCGGCCGTACTGGGCCTGTTTTGCCTGAGCTTTGTCTTGTATTGGGACTTGTGCAAGTTTCACTCCTTTTTGAGTTGATCTTTGACATTTTGTCATTTTGTTGATCAAACCTGCAATCAAGCACAACTTGTGAGCCTTTTGGGACTATTTTGTATGAATTTCTAACATAAGCAAGAATGAGTATAAAATGCGTTTAAATCCCTAGTTATCATTTATCCATCTATTCTTAGTTTAATACTTGTATCTTAGGTAGATTGAACACTAGGATTTAGGTAAAATCAAGGGGTTAGAGCAAAATCTAGGGTTTTAATAAAAGTTATATTTAACCACAAAATTTGTTATGAAACGAATTAGAAATCATATATTATTGATCCTTAGGTTATAGAGAACAACTTCCTTCGAAAATTTTTGGAATTCGGGCGCGTGGGCCCGGGGTCGGATTTTAGGAAACTTGTGTTAAGGGCTGGGAAATTGCTTAAATATCTAGAATATGATCTTGTGAGCTTATATTGACTAGTTCGTACCTCATTTAACTAGTTTTGGATTGTTCGGCCCCAAATTGAGAGTTCGGGCTCGTTCTTGCTATTAGAAGTGCACTTTGGAGCGAGGTGAGTCTCTTTTCTAACCTTGTAAGAGGAAATTGTCCCCATAGGTGTAATAATTGAATAATTGCTACTAAATGCGGGGACTACGTACGCACTAGGTGACGAGAGTCCGTGCGTAGCTACTATTATGTTAATTGTCCGGGTAATCTAGGACCGTACCATGCTATATTTGTGAATGCATCTATATTTTCTTGCTAATGTGATCACTTATGATATGTTAGCGACTTGGAAAGGAATATAAGTGAATGTAAATGCTGGTTGGACAATTGTATGAAATTGTTTGAAAACTAAATGCGCCTTCATGTGTTTTCTTGATATTAATTAATATTTGTGGATCGGGCCAATCGCCTTGGTAGAAATAGATGCATCTATGGTTCACGCCATTCGACCCTCTGGCAGTGCACAGTTTATTTTCTGTTGGATCGGGCCGTCGACCTCAACATAATGTGCGCATGATATCTATGTGAAATCTTATTCATGACTTGATCTGCTAAATATTTGAAATGTAAATGACTAATTGTAAAATTGTTAAGAACATGACTTATTACCTCTTGCTACAAACTGTTGATTATTTGTGACTCCCATGCTTAGCATAACACTTCATTATATTATTTGACCTTAGTAAGTATCAAGTCGACCTCGCGTCTCTACTTCTTCAAGATTAGACAGGATACTTACGGGGTACATATTGTTTATGTACTCATACTACACTTCTGTACTTAATTGTACAGGATCTGAGGCAGGTACATCTGGCTATCAGTCTGGTGCGCGCCCCTGATTCATAGTCCGATACTTCCACGGTGAGTTGCCCCTCCCTGTGCCATTCAACAGCTTGATGGAGTCTCTCTTTATTTATTTTTGTTGTCTATTCTATTTCAGACAATAGAATGGATTTATTCTTTTGTATATTCTACTAGTTGTCCACAACTTGTGACACTAGGTCTTGGCACACACATTAGTAGACGTTTCTTTTGGGTTGTATAATTCTTATCGAATGTTGCATATTGTCACTTGTTTTTAATTGCAAATGAAGAAAATGTTGTAACTGTTTTGGGTAAGTAAAATAAGACTTTACTAATACTTCCGCATTGGCTTACCTGACAACGGTGTTGGGTGCCATCACGATCTGTTATGGAAATGGGTCGTGACAACACCCACCTCTCGTCCCCCACCCCCTTCCCCAAAAATAATCCCTCACACATTTCCTAGAACCTTCCGAGAAATTGGATGACACATACCCACATATAAAAAGATGAAATAAGGAAACCATTTGAGGTCTTCTTCTTCTTTGAAAAAATGGAGCAACATCCATCTCTCTATTTTTTCTTTTTTCTGTTTTCAATTTTAGAATTTCATCTAAACACCATAAATACAATACTAAAATCAACCACCGTCCATTTTTTCCGACAAACAAATCGTTAAGACCTAGCAGCTCTGACCATGGTTAAAAATTGCCGAAAATGAGATTGAAATTTTATGGGTGTCAATGATATTATTATGGCGTGGTTGCTGCTATTGATTATTTTTCAAGACTGACGGAGAGGAGGCGGATTAATGGTGGAAGGTCATGGGTGAAAATTGCCGGAAATGAAACTGAATTTTTGTGGTGGTCAATGAAGGTGGGAAGGAGAGGGGGAAGAAGATGAAGTTGATGGGGGGATGCAGAAGGAAAAAGATGAATGGGGGGG